GGGGGGGGCTCGCGGCCGGGCGGGGAGAGTAGGGGTCGGCGGCGGAGGGGGCTAACGGTGGGGGAAGTCCCGTGCACTCACGCTCCGCTCCTGCTATCGAACAACCTCCTGCTCGTTCGCTCCCGACTGACAGAGAACAGGAAGTGACGGCAGCCAAGAGCCTCCGGCCCCGCCCCGCTGGGGCTGCGGCACGTGATGGGGCGTGGCCTCCCGGCGGAACCGACCCTGAGACCCTTTCCAGGGCCTTAAAGGGACCGCCCCTCGTCCTGAATGGATGCCTTGAAAGTGGGATGAGGTAAAGATTGCATCTGACCTGAGAAATGTGTGAGGGAGCTAATAATACAGACGGCAAACATCGAGGTTTGTATTCTATAAATGTTTGTTCTAGCGAAGGGAAGGTGCCATACTGAAAAAGATCACCACCGGGCTCATTTTCCCAGAAAAGGTCTTCCACCTACCCCACCGTCCCCCTCCTCAGTGTATGACTGGCTGGTAAAATCCAAAGGAAGTCAGTCACAGCGTTTAATTCCGGAAAGTGCAAAAAATCTTTGCATAAGTCCTTGGCTTCACGAACCTTACTCCTAAATTGAAGTCCTGGAAGTGGAAAGTAGACAGAAGACAAGAGAAATCCACTACAAGCTAATCTACAATCGATTTTTAATTTTTTTTTTTGGGGGGGAGGGAGAGGTTTTCGCTATAGGGCCGCGTGCGCTCTCCAGAAAGACAGACAGAAAGCGAGAAATAACCCCCCAGGGGGGATGGCCACGCCGCAATCCCTTCTCCTCCATTCTCCTCTCGGGATCCTGGGCACCCACGCACACGCGCCCGACGTGAGTTTAAGCCACGGATCAGGGACTGGAACCGTGGTCAACTACGTGGGAGTCCAGCGACATAGCCATTATGCCAACTGCTGTTCCCAATTTTTTTTTTTTTTAAGTTTCTTCATTGCTTCTCTGAAAGAAAGAGGAACCCTCCCCCACCATAGGATCTTCACTCAGCTATCCCCGTCTAATCCCAGCTGGCCTAAAAGTTACAGCCCACGCCAACCTTATGTAGCATTAGGCTAGGTGACTTCATTTTAAAAAGGAAATACTGTATAATTTTATTTTTTTAATTACCAGAGGGCCTGTATGCCCACCAGAGAGACACAGGGAGAGAGGGAGAAAGCACCATTCAATAAAGAATGGTCACACCACAACCCTGTCTCATTTCTCCATCCCGTTTAGGATCGGGGGCATGCAAGCACATGCACCTAGCATGTTTTTTCAAGCTTCCAGGACCAAGCCTTACTTGGCCATGTGGGATCCAATTCTCTTAACCATTAAGCTATGGGTCGCTCTATAAAATTACTTAAATGAAGTTCCAAATACAAGCAAAACTCATCTCTAGGAATAGAGGTCAGATTATCCTGGAGGATCTCACTAGGGGGCAAGTAGGAAAAAAAAAAAAACACTAGGATCTGGGGTCCAGGTGGTGATGCAGGAGTACATAGCTAGACCCAAACAGGAAAGCCATAGGTTCACACCCCAGAATCCCTAAGAGCACTAATTGCACCTGTGCCGGTGATCCAGTTTAGCTAAGACTAGGATATGGATTGTAACATGAAGATTCTGTTGGTAGTCTCTCTCTCTCTCTCTCTCTCTCTCTCTCTCTCTCTCTCTGTCATAATAAATAAATAAACTTAAAAAAATAAAAAAGAGGGTGGGCCAGCCAGTGGTGTGATGGTTAAAGTGACTGGATCCCACAAAGCCAACTGTACCATTCAAGTCCTGGACCCAATGGCTTGAGAAACAACACCAGATACGTGTCCAAAGTCCCAAGAGAATAATGGAAGCGAAGGATATGGTGTGACCACCCATCTGGTAAGGTGCTTTCTCACTTTCCCTGACTCTCTTTGTCTCTCTTTCTGGTGAGAACACACACCCCATAGCAAATTATCAAAGAAAAAAAGAGATGGCTGGTCCCGTGGCCTAATGGCTAAGGCAGCCGAATCCCATATGACTGATCACACAGTTTGAGTCTCAAATCTGGCAGCTTGAGAAACAGGTCAGGCATGTGTGCATACATGCCCTAAGTCTGGAAAGGAGGAGAGGTGGAGGAAAAGGGATTGCAGTGTGACTGTTCTCCATAGGGAGTGCTTTTTGCGTCTCCTTCTTTCTGTCTCTCTCACTCTCTGTCTCTCTTTCTGTCTCTGGCAAGCACACATACCCTCCAACCATAGGAGGTTAACTACAGGAAACAGCCTGCCTGCACCCTGGGAGCCAAGGATGTGGTTCTCCCTTGAAAGCTGGACGCTGGTAGGAGAACAGGCTTCAGAGTAATGTTTACAACTTTCTTTCCTCTCCTCCAAGATAGTAAGGGCTGCCCAAAGGTCTTTTCCCTGTTCATTCACTCATTCGATTGGCTAAAAGCCCTCATGAGCTCTCAGTGCTCATGACTGGGTACAACAGAGGGGGTGTTAGAAGACCTGAGTTAAACTCAAACCCGCTGGGATCCAAGCAACTGAGATCCTCTTGCCTGTGGTGAATGTACTGGGGAGAGAGAGCTGAGCTTCCTTCTTGGCACAGCTATAGAATTGGGCAGACTCAAGGCAGCCACCAAGAATGAACTCATAAGCCTTGATGAGCAGCAAGAGAGGATGCCATGCCCAGGGGACAGAGGGGGCCACAATGCCCAGCAGAGAGGCAGTACTTAATGGGAACCATACTCAGCAGTAACAACCAGGCCCTCAGCCAATCACATTCCTTGCAGTTGGAGAAGAGAGAGAGAGAAGTGTAGTCTCATGGCTGCCATACCAGAAAACATATGTGGTATAGAATCCTAAAATGGCCAGCATGGTCGATCACATTGTGCAAGGTCCAGATCCAGTGGCTTGAAAAACACATATGTGCATGTATATACATGTCCAAAATCCCGAAAAAAGGGAGAGATGGAGCAGAAGGAATTGCAAAGCATTCCCAGTGGTGTGTCAGAGGGGTGCTTTCTCTCACTCTCTGTCATAATTTTTTTTAAAGAATCTCAAAATATAAGAACAGCAGATGGAGTAGTGATGAGGGATTTAACAAAGTAAAAGAATCCTGTAGGAGTTCAGAATTGCAGACTAGAAGCACTAATGAAGACTGAGGAGGGCCAGTGGGTTGAAAGAAGGGGGTAGTGTTTGAGTTTACATATGGAGCAGTTAGACCCATGATACCCACCCACACCTACCCAACCCTGCCCTCATAGAAGACAGTTGACTATTTCCTGGAAAATTATCTTGAGGGGTGCAAAATGTGTGAAGGAAATGAGGAGCCAAGAGTACAGGAGATAGGATCAAAGTTTAAAAACTAAATGCAAAAACATCCCTCCCTAGGCCCTTCCCCCTTTCAGCATTACTGACTTTTGAAAGAATAAATGCAGATAAAAATACAAATTAATTCCTTAACATTTTTTTCTGTGTGAAACCCTTAATCATAATGAAATAAAAGTAGGCATGAAAGTAAACAGAGGGGCCAGCAGGTGGGTTGGTGGTTAAAGAGCTGAACTCCTACATGGCCAACTGCTGTTTGAGTTCTGACCTGGTGGCTTGCTTGCTCACTGTTTTTTCCCCACCTCCCAACTCTCTCTCTCTCTAGTGAGCACATGTACCCTATAGCAAATTAAATAATAATAATAATAATAAGGTGTTTGCCTAAAAATTAAAGAAAGTGAACAGAGACACCACACACCTGCGCACCTCCACACCTAAAGAAATAATTGACATTCCAGTTAAATTAAATTCATATGACATTTCTATCTCTTTTCCCTTTAGCAAATGTTCTTATTCAGATTCTGTGTCTAAGCAAACTGGGTAAAAAGCCTGCTATAGTTCAGATTTCAGTTCTCAGAAGCTCCGGAGGTAAACTGTTGGGGAGATCTATCATTTTAGAAGCGGGAGACCTGGTGCTTTGCATGCAAATGTAGTTGGCTTGATTTCTTTGGGTGTGATACTTTGTGAAACTGTTAGCAAATCTTTGGTCCTAAATGACTTCCGTTCAATAGAAGTCCATGTAATTTAAAAAAATAAACGACAATAATTTCTCACATGTAGATAAAAGAGAGAAAATTTTTTACTTTAAACAAAATAGGATTGCAGTTCTTCCAAATGGTGGACGGGAGGTGTAGTTCACTTGCATTCCTGTGGGATGGGGTGGGGAATAGCTCCTTTTGTAGGAAAATTCCTAGAGGGTATTTTGGGACCCTCACTCCTTAGTACAGAGCTTGGCCTCTTTAAACCTTGAAGAGCATGAGAAATTAGTCCACAACTCAAGTTGTGTCTTTCCATGATGTCAAAGCTTTATTCACATCAAACGTCCTAACACACAAGCAAGCATAGCCTGGTGAAGGACAGGGACATGTGAGCCCATTCGAGGCCAGTGCCTGCACCAACACCGTGAAAGGGCCCTGCTCTGAGAGTCAGTCCAAAGCCCTCATGGAGATAGAGCCATTAGCATGAATCCTCCTTCGAATAGTCCCCTCAGCAATGCAGGTCACTGCAGGTTCTGGACCAACCATCCCTCAAGTTACAGCAGCAGGCCAGTCTGATTCACTCTTACCAGGGTCCCAGTGCCTCCAGATTGTAATGAAGAGAGATGCAAAGTTAGTGCTTGGGCACAGCAGTGTCTCCAGTTCACACACAGGAATGGCCAAAGAGCAGATGGCATTGAGCTGAGTTCCTGGTTTATATGCCCCTTTACCAAGGCCTTGCCCTGTGCCATACGTTATCATCTTTGTGACCAGTTTGCGATGATGAAGAAGAACAAGAGGAAAACCTTGATGCAAGTGGAGAATATAAATGTTCAGGAAGAGATAGTTTGATTTTTTTGGTTGATGCCTCCAGGGCCAAGTTTGAATATCAAGATGAAGAGGAATGCCCGCGCCAAGCGCGCGAGGCGGAGGCGGGCGGAGTAGGCCCTGCGCCGGCCCACCCGGCCCGGCTGCGGGCCCCCACCACCCCCGGGACCCGTGCCAAGCAAGGCGGCGGGAGGCGGGGCCCCCACCCCGGGGT